AAGAAACAGGGTCTCCGTACATTGCTCAGGCTAGATTCAAGCTGTTGGGCTCAAGGTACTCTCCTACCTTAGCCTCCCAAGTAGCTGGGGCTGCAGGCACACACCACCATGCCTGCCTAGGACATTTCTCGACAAAGAGTTAGAGTCTTTTATCTGACTGTGAAGCCTGCTGGGTTCAGTACCAAGTTTCATTTCTACAGCTAACATATCCCAAACATTTTCAAGTTGCTTGAGATTATTAGATGTACCGAGACGAACCAAACTAAAGTATCTCTTGCGGCCCTTTCACTACTGTGGCCATTTATATTAAAGAAGCACACAGCAGTGACACATCTGTGTCACAGGGACTTGACTCCTGCTAGGTGATATGGAAAAGGTTGGATGGCTTATTCTGGACAATGCCCATCAATCATGAGAATGACATTAGAACCACCTCTTACATAGCTGTTCCTTACTGAAATGAGCACTGTTCTTCCAGGACCCTGTCTGATCAGGGCTCTAGCAGAGTGACAGAGTGGCTTTGTCCTGCCCAGGGTCTAGGGAAGCTCCTGGTATCTCAGCACACCCCTGTTGACTCTGTTGCCATTCTAGAGAGAAGACACTACACAAGGGAGCCACCAGCGCTTCACCAAGCCCACTGCAAATTCTGACTTGAGACACTGCAAGGCTCAGCCCATTGTATTTTGAAGTAGGATTTTCATTAATGAAAATGTCTTTTGTATTATTTCTGTCCAATTGACAAATAAGAATTTATGAATTCCAAGTCACGTTCTGAATTGGCCACTCAAACTCGGTTAGATCGTCGCTTGCCACGATCCCCCTCCCTGCCATTTTTTTTTTTTTTGAGATTCTGAAAGTATTCCATCATAAAAGAAGTCCACTCCAGCGCAGATAATTCCTCACTTACATGCTCTGCAGTTCCTGCATCTGACTAACCCCTCTCCTGTCTCTGTGATTACTCTTTTAGACATCATCTTTGAGGCTTCACCCCTTGCTGCACAGTAAGACGGTAGCCCAGCAGCCCACACGCTCACAGGGGCAGGTCTGGGGCTTTGCCTATAAAATACAAAATCAGCAGCCCATTATTTCAATTCCAATAAATGTGTAACTATCAAAGAGCTTATTCCATCTGGTCCTGTTCACAGGAGACGGAGAGACGACAGACAGGGATGTTGGTGGCCAAGCCACTTAATTTCTATTGACTAAAAAAGAAAGAAGAAATAGATCTAGGCTGCCAGAAAACAGAAGAGAAGCATATGGTTGTTAAAATTACCAGAACAACTGGGACAGAGGAGACAAGCTGCTTGCAGTGGCATAAGGGTTTCTATGTTGCTTTTTGATCCACACCCGCCCTGGAAACTACTGCAATCGCATAAGCCTTCAATTCTTCAGGACTGTGCAGATACTGATTTAGAACTGGTCTCTGGCTTGTTATGAAATGAACCTCTTTCACGGCACCAATGTAGAGCAGAGGCGAACCTGGTTTGAAGATGCCTATGAGACCTATATTCTCATCCTGCCTCTTAGGCATGAGTCACTACTTCCCCCTAAAATATGGAAAAATGCTAAAGTGACTTTCATGTGGGATGTACAATTGGTAATGACGGAGTTGGGAAAAACACACAACTCTCTGAATCATCCACATGCCATGAGTTCTCAAGGCAGTCTTGCTGAGATATTATGGGAAGTCTAACATTCTGTTGGCTTGTCCCATATGTCGAGAGTCTAACAACTTTACAAACAAGTTGTCAGAAGGAAAGAAGACAGTGTCTTCATGGATGTCAGAGAGACTCAAGCAAATGACAGCATGTAGCTCCTTGGTATCCGAGCATCACTAGCCTTGGAAAACTTTTCTGCAATGATAGCTCTGTCCTCCATCACAAAAGGGACCTCGTGGCTTTGATCTGTGAGTGATATTAAAAAACCCATCTTCTCTTTTTTGAGTAAGTAAGCATTGTCAACTGCCTGTGCTGAAAGCCACTGATGTGAATATATCATACGTTTCATAAGACTCCAGTTTTATTGAGTGGGTTTGAAATATACTTAAGAGCATATGATGGTTAATTTTAACATGTCACCTTGACCAGGCTATGGGATGCCCAGATAGCTGGTAAAACGTGATTTCTGAGTGTGTCTGTGAGGGTGTTTCTGGAAGAGATGAGCATTTGAGTTGATAGACTTGAGTAAAAAAGATCTGCCATCCCCGGTGTGTGTGGGCATCATCTCATCTGTTGAGGGCCTGAATAGAACAAAAGGCACATCAGGGTAAATTCACTCCCTCTGAGGTTGAACTGGGACAACTGTCTATCTTCTGGCCTCGGATGCTGGTGCTCCTGGTTCTTGGGCTCTCAGACTCAGACCAAGATACCAATGGCTGGTTCTCCAGCCTGTGACAGCAGATTGGGGGACTTCCTCACTGCCATACTCACATGAAGCCATTTCTATAATAAATCTTCATATATACACATATATGTGTGTGTATAAAACATATATTCCTATATATATATGTATAAAACATATATTCCCTGGGAACCCTTGACTAATACCAAGAGCGCTTGTTAAAAACCATTCAGAGCAGAGAAGATGAGTGGCTTATCTTTCATATTTTGCCTCTGACGTGGCCATTGTTAAACTCAGAAAGCCTGTATCTTCTCAGACATGAAGAACGTCACCTTCATCTACCACAAAGACCACGATTTGGTATTTACAATCTTATTTACAAACAGATATTTTTAAAAGTGTTCCTTTTTTTCATATTCCTTTCAGGAATTATAATGATATGATTATAAAGGAAAGGTAGATTGATTCATGGTCATCTCTATGAGACAAGAATAAGCAAGAGGTTGTACTTACAGGCTGTCCTTACGGAATTTTTTTAAACTGTATTTACGTTTTGTTTTTTTTTTGCATTATGTTATAACCTGTAGAAGACCTGTGATGGTTAACACTGTCAACTTGATTGGATTGAAGGATACAAAGTACTGACCCTGGGTGTGTCTGTGAGGGTGTTGCCAAAGGAGATGGACATTTGAGTGGGGGCTGGGGAAGGCAGACCCCCGCTTCATCCGGTGGACACCACCTAATCAGCGGCCAGTGCAGGTAGAATAAAAGCACACAGAAAAGTGTGAAAAGACTAGACTGGCCTAGCCTTTCAGCCTACATCTTTCTCCCATGCTGGATGCTTCCTGCCCTCAGACATCAGACTCCAAGTTACTCAGTTTTGAGGCTCGGACTGGCTCTCCTTGCCCCTCAAGTTTGCAGACAGCCTACTGTGGGGCCTTGTGATCGTGTAAGATAATACTTAATAAACACTCATGTATATATCTACCACTGTTTATTAAGTATTAACTTACACGATCACAAGGCCCCACATACATGTGATTAGTTCTGTCCCTCTAGAGAACCCTGAGTCATACAAGACCGTAGAGAAAAGCTTCATATATGTAACAGGGACCTTGCATAACAGAGCTTGGCTCATACCAGAAGATAACTGTCTGATGGATGAACAAATCATTTCAGGGTACTATAATTCAAAGCTTTTAATACATTTAGCAAAGTAACAGAAATCCACGGAGTCAGCACAGCTACAGGCAGCTGATCCCTGTGAACATCCCCAGGGCACTCTCTAAAACTGCAAATTCTGCTCCCGTTTTTTGCTTTTTAATATACCCTCTGTCACTCATCACTCAGGAAGGTTGGAACAGAAAACAGGTTAAGGACTAGTGCTTTGGACCCATTGCCGTATGTTCACCGACCTCACTGCAATCTCCTATTCTAGACTGGTGTCTGCAGAGTGAGATACTGTGCTCTCCAGTCCCAGATCACATGCCTCTTCCATAGGTATAGGTAAGGTCACCTACCAAAAAATAGCGTACACAGTCTAACAAATACAACCCTATTCGTGGGAACATTTGAGTCTGTCCTAGAAAACTCAGGTCATTTGGTTGTTTGGTAGTGTTGTGCTCCACAGATATGGCTGTAGCTGTCTAGAGATTTCCTTGAATGACAGAAAGAATCTTAAAGAGGGAAAACCGATTTCCACATTTGAGCTGTACTTCCGATGGAATTTGTGGGCTGCCAGATTCTAGCCTCTGTGGTAGGTTATTCCGCTTATGCATCTTTCTAATACTCAATAGAGCGGGCTTCTCAAGTCCACCCCAAACCCAAAGAGCGGAGGTATGTGGACTCGACCCCTGGTGTCTGGGAAGAGTTGGAAGTGACCTCTCTTTAGCACACAATGTTTTCATGGTTTCTCCTTTTGTTTACTTGCATTAACATAAAAATAGTGCTTTAAATTATTTACCACCAAGCAAATCACCACTTGAGGACACTAGGTCCTTCTTTGACCCCCTTGGTCCTGGTGTTCACTCTCCCTTTGTGCCTGCCACCCTGCAGGGGTCCTTAGCAGATCGTGAAGGTCACCCCACTTTAAGTTATGGGAGTGGGTTCGTGGAAATAAACTCCCAGAAATACACACAGAATGAGAGGTGCACACGTACGGCATGTGAAAGACCTTCTCCCTGCACATGTCTAGTGGTGACCCTGAGCTGGCTTCGCAGTGCCATCCTCGGCTTGAAGAAAAAGGGGAAGGAAATTGATACAAATGTTTGGAGTTTCAGATAAATAGTAGCAGCCATCGCCACTATCTGGGAGTCAGGTGTCATAAAGCTAATTTTATGGATGAAGACATCAAAACTAAAAGAAAAAAAACCACTTCTACAATGTTTTATAGGACCAAGTGTGTATCATTTTCCAAATATGTATGTGTAAGCAGAAAGTATGTTATCTTTGAGGTATTTTTTCAGGCATGACCTTGGCCTCTTTTAGTTCATTCAAATACAGAATTTCTACTACACTCCAAATAAACCCCAAGAAATGTGCTTGGATAGCAATTCACACAGGGACAGATTAGGGCAACTGGAGGTTTGCTTTCTTGTGAATATAAACAGGAGAACACGAGAGGGATACGTTGATGAGGTACACCTTCTGCCCACTTTTGGGGAGAAATATGCAATCTTATTTTTAATGTGAGCTGTAAGTGCAAACTTTGTTTCTCTATATTGTATTTGTAAAAGCTCTCCTACACGTGTATATGGTGTTATAACAGAAATGAATCAAACATTATGCCACAGACTTGGAGCAGAAACATGGCAAGTGTTCCAAAATAATTTTTTTAATGGAGCTAATTGTATAAGAACCTGGAACGAGTTTTGATGAAGAAATAGAGGGAAAATCATTTTTGTATTTTCTAAAATGAAGGTAAAACTATGACATCTTTGTGTCCGGGACTTTTGGTAAACCTTTCAATGAACACCAAATGGGTGAAGGTAATAAAGATGTGTTATTCATACGTTACTCTGGTTACTTATAGGAGTCAGAGTTTAAGAATAATTTCTGAAATGAGATACTCAATACGTGAATTATCCATTACAGCTTTCAAACAGGTTCTATACTAAAGAGTGGGACAAGCCTTTCTTTAAAGAATCAACAATGAGGTATCTTGGAAGTACAGAGGGAAGTGGCTGAGGAAGTCAGCCCAGAGAAAGCAGAACCTGAGCTGAGTTCTGGAGGTGGACAGCCGGTCAGCAAGGGGGTGGGGGAATGGACATTCTAGGCAGGGACAAATTCACAGGGAATATGAAAAAGACTGATAGTAATAACTGTTCATTTTTAAGCTTAGCTATGAAATGCAATGGCCCCGTTTGAACTAAAATCTAACTATAAGAGGTCACTGATGAAGAGAAATTGAATTTTCTTCACCGCATCTTCTTGAGGGGAAGTGAACCTGCCCTTATATCATTAGAATGGCCAAGTGACATGTTCCTTGTTAAAGCTCACTGTTTCAGAAAACGGCAGATGTCTGAAGCCAGGCAAGGAACACAGTTGTTGTAATTCACAGCTGGGATACTCTCAGCGTTGAGAAACTGTTTTCTTTTAGCCACTAAGGATATAGTATGGTCCTTTGTCAAAAGATGACAAGGCACAGCCTTGGTTATTCAGTTTGCGAAATGAATCACAATGCTTGAATGGAATGAAATCTGTCTACTGTGAATCTGAACGTGGAGTTAAGAGATTCTACTCTCAAAGCGTTTCTCTTGATGGGAAAGATGCCCAACTAGAAATTCTTGTGGAGGCTAGAGAAATCCCCACAACAAGAAAAAGAAAAAGAGAGAGAGAGAGAGAGAGAGAGAAAGAGAGAGAGAGAGAAATGAATATGAATTGGCTAGTCCCTGATTCCAAATGCATCCTTGTCCTTGAGTGCTGTGAAACTCCCCTGTAACTTTAAAATGTTTTCCACTAGAATTAGTGGGTTCCTAAGACTTAAAATGAGAGCATCTTATACACACATATTTATATGAAGATGTCATAAAGACAATAATCTCATTACATATTTATATACATATTTAAATGACGTAATAATAAAGACCAGTCTAATGATTTCTTTGCCTCTGTAGAAACCATCGGAGATTATTAGTTTCTCCAAGAATTCATTGCTTTGTTTGATCCAGGGCATAGCTTTTCCTTGAAATACAGTCCTATATTCTCTCCAAGATTTTAGGAGCTTTTGCTGTTTTCAGTTTAGTAAGCGAGGCCTTCTCCTCTGAAGGACTCAGGTTTATGAAGAGTTTGTTTGAAGCTGTGTATGTGGTAAATTTACCTTCAGCTACACAACTCAGGTGTGGGATGTAGATAAAGGTTTTGCTCAAGTACACACGCGGACAGGCACATTCATCTATTTTGGGGCCCCATTTTTTATGTCATATCAATGTTTCTGAGTGTACCTCAGAATAGCGCATAACAAACACAAGCACTTTACACTAAGAGTGCTAGATTTTATTAACCACTTGAAATCCCTGGAGGAAAATGCCATTTCATTAGGAGGCTTCTTGGCTGCTAATCAAGGGCTTTTCATTTCCTTAAGTACATTGATCTGGTAACACATTTTCCTCTCTGAAAAACCATTCGGGAAAGCATTTTCTAAAAGCACAGTAAGAGAGGTCTATTTTTCTCTGGTAAATACAAACACTGAAGAATCACCAGGAATTAAAACAGAATAGAAACCATGTGTACCCTCATTAAATATTGGAACTCCCACCAAATCCATCATAGAACTTACTACCCATCAAAGTCTTCCTTGACTGCCACACGTGCTAACTATGATGTTTGCTGTTACTTTACATTGGGGATCCTTGCTAGCATTAAGATGCCATGTTCTTCTAGTTACCTGAAGTTAATCATGGTAAGTTGTCAAATGATGAGAAGGCACTGCCTTGGTTGGTAGGTCTGTGGAATGAATCACTGTGTTTAATAAAATTAAATGTGCCTTTGTGATTCTCAGCACTCCATAAATGTAAGTCAGGTATAAACCTACATTTTAGATTGCAACACTGTTGTATTTTCCACTCAAATTTAGCTGTTTCTTAACACGTGTACAATTCAGACAAACACTGGAATTCAAATCAGTGCATTTCTCACATTCCGTTCTGTCATTTAGTCCAACGTCCAATTTAAAGCATGCATCTTAACTAGGATGTTCCTAGTTTACAGCAAGCAGTGCCATGCAGTGGAAAGATTATGGGTTTCATGTTCATTCCAATTTCATTTCCTCCCACACAGCTATGTGACCAGGGCAAGTTTCTTAACCCATTGAGTTTTACCTTCCTTTCAGGTAAAATCCCAAGAATACCATCTGACTACCATTCAAAGTTATAGCAAATAATAAATAAGATTAAGAATTAGTATGCCTAGGTCACTGCCTGGTATGTAGGAGGCACACAAATAGAAGTCACTTCTTCCCTACAACCCCCACCTTTATGACCCCACTATCTTGCCTACGGGTAAATCCTTTGTGAGCTTTATAAATCTCTGGATTTTTGATAGTGTTAAAGCATCTCTAGCAACTTTTTTTTTTAAGTTAAAATATTCTACTTTCCTTTACTATGGCTACAGTTTGAAATATTCCCCAAATTTAATGTGTTGGAAATTTAATCCCCAAATTCACATGTTGATAGTATTTGGAGGTGGGGCCTTTGGGAAGTGTATTGGTTCATTCTCATGCTGCTACAAGGAAACACTCAAGACTGGGTAATTTATAAAGGAAAGAGGTTTAAATTGACTCACAGTTTTGCATGGCTGGGGAGGCCTCAGGAAACTTAAAATCATGTTGGAAGGTGAAGGAGAAGCAAGGCGTGCCTTACCAAGTGGCAGGGGAGAATGTGTAAGGGAAAGTGAGGAGGTGCCACACTTAAACCATCAGCTCTCATGAGAACTCCCTCACTATCACGAGAACGGCACGGAGAAACTACCCTCATCATCCAATCACCTCCCACCAAGCCCCTTCCTCAACGCCTAGGGATTATAATTCACGATGAGATTTGGGTTTGACACAAAGCCAAACCATATCAGGAGGTAATAAGGTCATTAGTAGGAAGCCCCCATGATGGGAACCATGGCTTTATAGGAAGAGGAAGAGAGGCTTGAGAGGAAAGGTTCTTACTTTTGCATCAAGTGATGCCCTCCACCGTGTAAAGAAGAAGGTCTTCACCAGTCTTGGACTTCCCAGCCCCCAGAACTGTGAGCTAAATAAACCTCAATTCTTTATAAATCACTCTATCTATAGTATTCTTTTAGAACAACAGAAAACAAACTAAGATAACTACTTCATTTTGTATTTTTAAAACTCACTTTTTCTCCTCTTTCTCCCTTAAGCAGCGGAAAAAAAAATATGGTAAAATAAGATGCTTAGCATATGCTGGGTATTACAGATTGCCATTTGCCACACTTCCATACCAGCAGGTGGCTTTTAGCTGAGGTTGCCATAAGCACTGACGTCTCTTAGGCAAGCCTGCAGCTCACAGTGAGCCATGAAGGGGAGACACAGATAAGACTTAAAGAAACCCACATCACCTACCATGATGAATGAGATCAAAATCCACATTTAAGCATAAAACTGAACATCTTTTAACTAAAGAATTGGTGGGCTCCATGAACATACTCTATGTAATAATTTGAGAAAATCCAAAAGGTCCGAAAAAAAATGCGACAACTTTTCATTTTCTTTTCTTGTGACAACTTCATTTCTTTCTTGCAATTTAAGTGAGATGAGGCTAAGAACATCAACAGGAGTCTCTTGTTTGGGCCCCCATGATTCCCCATAACTAGATATTCCCCATAACTAGGGTCTATACTCTATGACACATATTGCTTTTGCTGGTTTACATTCCGATTTCCTTTAGTAGTTTGCAAACTTCTTGAGGTCAGGGACCATTTTTAAGTTACCTTTGTATCTCACTGCCCGGGGTACAATGGGTGACCCACAAAAGATGGTGAATAAATTCGGGCATATGTCAGAGGCAATAGAAGCTTCGAGCAAAGACAAGGAGTGCATAATCAACAAAAAACTAAGGTGCTGATGGCAATTATTTCCAAAAGCTGATGGGAGATAACAAACAGGTAAAGAAACACTGTGAGGCATGTAGACAGATGAATGGTAGGTAAACATGACACTGAGTCTTTCAATTTTTAACAATATGCTGAAGATCCTTCCATAATTTATTATTAACATATTTTTCCTTTTTAACATTGGAGGTTGCCTAAAGGTGGTCCATACATAAAAGTTCACTCATAATTGTTTAAGCAGGTGCAGGTTCCGGAAAACTTTCCACTGCATATGAAATAGGATCACTTAAAAATATAATGAGCAAATGGAGACAGAGAAGAACAAGAGAAAGCAGACTGGCTCATTGATTCAGAAAGCAACTGTTGGACTATGTAAGTCTTGAAGACTGCACCAGCCCCTGGATGAATAAGGTTGGTATGGCTTTTCCTAACAAGCTTGCATTCCAGAGCAGAGGATGGTGGTAAATAAACAAACAAGTAAACAAATTAATAGTTGATAATTTCGATAATGAGCGTCATGCAGACAATAAACAGACCACGTGACAACAGAGTGCCTGAGGGCCGGCTTGGGCTCGGCTGCTTAGGAAGGGCCTCACGGGAACCGGCAGTCACGCTGAAGCCCCATTCAGCGGAAGAGGCATGGGGGCATCTGTGAGGAGCATGTTGTTGGTGTTGATGAAAAGGGTCAAACTCTAAAATATTTGAAGAGGTTTATTCTGAGCCAAACGTGAGGACCATAACCCATGGCACAGCTTCAGGGGGTCCTGAGGACATGTACCCAAGGCGGTCGGCCTCCTGCTTGGCTTCATGCATTTTAGGGAGACATAAGGCATCAGTCAATACATATAAGGTGTATTTTGGTTCAGTCTGGAAAGGCAGGACAACTCGAAGGTGGAGGTGCTTCCAGGTGGATTCAAAGATTTTCTGATTGGCAGTTGGTTGAAAGAGTTAGGTTATTGTCCAAAGACCCGGACTCAATAGAAAGCAGGGTTTGGGTTAAGATAAGAGGTCCTGGAAACCAAGGCGAAGCCTCCAGCAGCGAGCTTCAGAGACAACAGATGGTAAATGTTCCTTACCAGACTCAAAAAGCTGCCTGACTCAGCTGATTCTCTCCTGGATCAGGGAAAAGACATGGAAAGGGAAAGGATTCTCTGTAGAACGCAGACTTTCCCCATGAGACAGTTTTGCAGGGTCATTTCAAAATATGTCAAAGAAATATATTTTGGGGTAAAATACCTCAACTTCTTTCAGGCCCTGCTATCTGTGTTGTTGGTGCCTTATTGCTGTAAAGAGCCTGCTTTGTCAGTCTTCAGATTTCTGTTTTAATGTTCATGCCGGTCAGGGCCTGAACTCCAAGGGAGGAGGGTGTAAGGAGGCATGGCCAACTTCCATTTCCCACTGTGGCCCGAACAAAGTTTTTCAGCTTTCTTTGGAATGCCCTTGGCCGGGGGTGGGAGGTGGGGTCCATCAGCTGGGTCCGGGGCTTAGGATTTTATTTTTGGTTTACAGGGGCACACAGAATGTGCGAGTCTGTGCAGTCAGAGGGTGTTTTCAGTGCTTGAGAAACCAAAAGGAAGCTCGTGTGGGGAGAGGATACGGGGCGGGGGGACAGGAAGGGTTCAAATGATGAGGCTAGAGGAGGGGAAACAGGCAGCCAACAGAGTGCCTTAGAGGCCCCAGAGAGGAATCTGGATTTTACTCCAGATGTGTTTTCATTAGAGGGGTGGAAAGAGATCTGACTTCTATTTTATAGAGAACTCTTTGCCTGCTGTGTGGATACTTGATACTAGGGGGCACCTGGAAGCTGGGCAAGGCTGGCAGTAGTCTGGATGAGAGATGACGGTGGCACCAACGAGGTGCTGGGAGCAGGGAGGGGAGTGTCACAAGCATGGCAACTACCGGAGTAGAGTATGCAGAGGAAGGTGGTTTCTAGAAACACTATACAAATTGAATCAAAAACTGTGTGTGTGTGTGTCTGTGTGTCTGTGTGTGTGTCTGTGTGTGTGTGTCTCTGTGTGGTGTGTCTGTGTGTGTGTCTGTGTGTGTGTGTGTGTCTGTGTGGTGTGTCTGTGCGTGTGTGTCT